ATCTCAGCAAACTTAGCTTCTTTGTGTAGACCCCAGGCCCTGGGCATGGTCTTCTCTACCACTGACATCTTCATTGGTCGGGGAGAACAAACTTTACCTCGCTGAAAGGCTTGCCGCCGGATCCGGCATTTTGCTCTCTGCAGGGGACTTGCTCGTTCCCCCGCAAGCAGATCCAGCCCCCTGCCTCGCCGGCGTAGCCGCCGCTGCAGCAGATGGGGTCGGTGTAGATCTGTTCGCCGTGGCTGCTTCCTTTCCTCCCGTTCCTCCCGCCATGAGCGCCGCTCCAAGGCGATGAGACACATGTAGACTGGCCTAACACGAGGGAGACGCCGTCGCCGCCCTCAGCTTCGCCAGATCCAACCACCCCAGTGCGTCGAAACCCTAACCCTAGCGAGAGAACGCAGTCGCCTTGGCGATCGCCTCCTATTGCCCGTAGCGTTTTGAGACTTGGTGGACCCCCCTTACCCGTCTCACATAATCCCACTTAATGCGTTTCGCTTGAGATGGACCAGATGGCATGGTGCTAGTACACTACACGAGCGACGGCAGCACCTAGTCCTTGCGAACTTGGGCCGCTTGTAGCGCATCCAAGCGGAGAGCACAAGCGGTGCCGGTGGTGTAGGTCGGCAAGCCTACGCGTATGAGAACAAAATTATGCTGAAGTAGGCAGCGAGTTAAGAAACATGGTTGACATGGATACCGAATGGGAGTAACCAAAGGCCCTCGATGGGCAGCAGCGCAGCCCACAACGTTAACAGCAGATGGTCTCGCGATCGAAGAGCTTGCAGCAGCATCGGCGAAGCTATCCTCTATCAGCTAATGGGGCTTCCATGGCACAGTGCGGGAGGATGCGTGGAGGCGCTAACAGCGGCGCTCCTGCTACTGCTCGCCTCGACCTCGATCTTATTGCTCCTCGACTTCCGACAGCTACCGCGTGTGAAGATGTTGGCACATGTAGGTTTCGTGGCATAGCCTGCGAAGTCCCACATAATTCTGGCGCTAATCCGCGAGAGCAACTAATTAACGAGTGCTCTTTTGGGAGCCTCGCAATGATCAGCGCCATTTGACGCGCTCTCAGTCATTCGCCATGTGTCGCGCTCTGGGCTCTCCCTTCGGATTTTTTTTTATTTTTTCGCACGCGTTTTCGGCTTTTAAAAAAAAAAATTCTAGTTTTTTTTCGACCTTTTTGGTTTTTCACCGGTCTTCTCTAGCTTTTCGACCCAAAAAATTTCGAAAAAAATATTTTTACGCAAAAAAACGCGTTTTCTTTTTCTTTTCCTTTCGCGAGAGGCACGGCTTTGCTTCTGCAAGAGGCACGGTTTTGCTTTCGCGAGAGTCACGGCTGTGCCTCTCAGAAACGAAAAAAATGTGTTTTCTGTTTTTTTTCTTTCGCGAGAATCACGGTTTTGCTTCCGGAAGAGGCACGGTTGTGCCTTCGCGAGAGTCACGGCCGTGCCTCCTATGAAACGAAAAAAAACATGTTTTTCCTTTTTTCTTCTTTCGCAAGTCACGGTTTTGCTTCCGCGAGAGGCACACGTATGATTTCGTCAGAGGCACGGGCGTGTCTATTTCGGAAAGGGAAAAAACCCGTGCTCCCAGTTCGGTTTTTTCGTCCAGTTTTTTTCGTGAAAAAATGTTCGTCAAAACCTATTAACATGGGATCTAGTTTTGAAGATCTCGACGCGAGAAATCCAACACCGAAAGCAGTTCGAGATTTGGACGCACGGTTTAAGAGATGAAACGTTTTGAATAAATGGATCTATGAAAAAAAATGAAAACTTCCAGGTTGCGGCAAGTGGCGCACATGCAACGTGCCACTTCTCGCAACCTGGAAAAGTTGAAGTGATCTTCGGAACGAGTACTCCTGATTTCGCTAATCCGCGGGTGTTCACGAACACGTTTTATTGGGCTTGAATGTCGGCGTCGCGGGCAGCCCAGGTCCACCTGCAGCCTCATGTTCAAGTTTTTAATTAAGGTGTTAAGTTTGAAAACAGTTTGAAAGAATTGGCAAAGTAAAAATTTTAGGGATCAAGTTATAGACGATCTGCTAGCTGAAATGTTTTAGGGAAATGGACCGGATAAGGGAAAGATTTTAGACTTTTAGGATATATGGTTTACCAAAGAGCCTTAATGGGTTATCGGGTATGCGGTGTTCTATGGCACCAAAACCGAATGTGTGATATCATGGGCTTATCTTTTTATTTTTCTCTCATGGGCTTCTCTCTTTTCTCAGATGTATAATTTTAAAAATCACTAAAACATGAAAAAAAACTGCCGGCTCTTAAAAAGTTGGAAACTTTTAGGTCATTTTGAGTTGTATTGAGATTTGCCTTGTGTGTTGGATAGCGGAAAACCAAATGGGAAGAAATTTTCATGGGGCAAGAGCTTAATTTACCGCGGGCGCAGCAGAAGGGAGATCTGCTCCAGGTTTTTTTTTTGCGATGGAGCTCCAGGTTCTTTCTTCCTCTTCTTTCCTTTGCTTTGTTTTTTTCTGTTTTGGGTCTGATGTTTCTTCCATGGTGGCGCTGTCTAGGGGTCTCGGGAGTGAGAAAGAAGAAATGGACGTCCTAGGGGTGCGCTATTGTGAGCTGGCTACCAATGGGTTAACGGGTTCAGCCCGTTTTAGTGAGCTTCCTTCTTTTTCCACAAAAAGTACAGAGAGAACAGAGAGCGTACAAGTCAGTGGAAAGAAAGAGCGCAGAAAATTATGTTGGGTTTCATCTACTGACCCTAAATTTGGGTCAGTCGATTATGTTTCTTCCGTCACTGTTTTTGTCCTTTAGAGCAACTTCAACCGGGCAATCCATTTCATCCGCCCACATCTGTTTGAGTCGTCACGGACAAAAATATCGGCCCAACGCGCCGACCCATTCCCTAAAACCGTCTGCTTCGCGTCCGCGCGGACCCATTTCCGACACAAAATTGCACCTGAAATGTGTCGGCACGAACGCGGCGCGCATCCCTTGGTATCTGCCACGGTCTCACTTGATGGTCGCCCAACTACCATCCGTCGTCTAATTTATGACAGCCCACTAATAAGACAATGG